CCTTCTTTCTAATACTTTAGTTCTGTCCTAAGTCAGAAATTTAAGATGACTGCAGAGAATTTAAATATGTTTGAAAACTGAGCTTGACTTCAAATCAGTGTTAGGTTTACTATGAAATGGGCATTTTGTGAAAGATATTATAAATCTATGTCTCTCTCCTACTGAGTTTTCGTTCTTGCTAAACTCATTCTGAATAGACAGTGTTGACTTTTTAACTCCGATAATATCAGTGTCTATGTACGTTGAGCGGTCTGTGCCAGACATTATGGTCCTGATAATAAAATGTTCTACAAATGAACAGAAAGGCAAGTGTTACAAATAGCAAATTAGCAGCACCTTTGCTCTGTCTTGTTGCTTTAGTATTTCTGTTAACACTAAACCGGTATGTAGAACACCTTCCTGAGATGAAAAGGGCAACAAACTTTTAACGGCATTACTAAGGATTTGATACAAAATTCAGCAGCTTTGTAAGGACAATAAATATTTCTAATTAGTACTTATTTTTCCTTTCTTGTTCTTTAATGAAAGAAAAAACAAACCCCAACCCTGTGTATTTCAGAATAGGTATTAATCTTGTAAGACTTCATTTAAAAAAAAAAAAAAGGTTTTCTTTTTCTTGAAACGTAAAACATGCAAACCGTGCAACTACTTACTTCCTTTTTTGTAAAGCCCCTTGGTTTTTGTAACCAAAAATCTTAGCCTTGGTCCCAGAAAGTGTTCTTCTGGGGTGGCCCTGCAGATCTCCTTGCAGGAAGGAGGCAGGCGGGTGTTGGCTGAAGCCGGTGACATTCACTGTGGCTGTCGGTGAGTGCTGGACTGGGGAATGAGCCACACCTTGGGAAACCCCTAATGAATAATACGGCAGTTAAATGTACAAATGGCTCTATTACAATAGTTTCAGGCATTTGTAAATGTATAACAACTTTCCAACGAAATGAGAACGGCTGTAAAATTACCTGAAGTTCTTCAACATGCTTGTTTTCCAAATTACGTGAAATTCCAGTCCAGATTTCTGACAGACTAATGAAGAGATCAGGTTTCTTCCAAATTACTTGTTGTAGGTTAAGTATCCTAACAACAAAAGGAGGCAGGAAAAACTAAGGATTTCTAGTCATTTTATTCTGTCAGGCTTTCTTTTGTAATGTGGGTGCTCAATCCATCGTATTTTGTTGCTGGGTTTTTTTAATCCTCGTTTCTTATGCTTTGAGGAGTGCCTGCATCCGCAACAAATTACTTTTCTAGGGCACAAATAAATAAACCTAGTTTATACCTACAAATAATTTAGGTTTGTATGAATCTATTGATCCTATTACCACCAGGGTAGTTTCCTGTTGTTGATGAGTTGTTATATCCTCCTTCACCCTTCTGGATCATTCCTATGGGTTCTGGCGATGTTATGGCTTCATTGGCGGCTTCAGGACCTAATTCTATGAGTTTAAGTCCATGGGAAACGTCACGTAGTATGTGCTGTGTTCAAGGTGATCTTGATGTCCTGTTTATATAGAGAAAGAAAATTACTGGTAACCAGTGAAACCTATTGGCAGTTTTTCTTTGAAAAGATGCAGGCTGAGATGTTGTCTAGTATTGGAAGCAGTAATCTTTATCTTGATTTTGTGGACATACAAACTACTTCAGTTTATTTTTGAAGGTAATATGCTGATGGTTATTGGTGATTGGCAAGTCCTTTTGGATGTCGGTTATCATGAGATTAATGGGTATGGCGAGGGTGAGGCTTAAAGCTTGATGAATGATCAGGAGAGGGAAATAGCTTCATTAACAAAAGGGTAAAACCCTTGTCTGCTGACCCTCCTGCTAATGCACTTATCAAACAAGCTTTCTCCCAAAGTTAGGCAAAACCAAATGTGTGAAAACGAGGGATTTCTATTCCAAGAGAGCTTATCTCTCACAGCTACACTGAAAGTGGTGGGCTCTCCGGAGTATCCCGGTAGTCCCTAAAAACCCCTTCCACGGGGGCTGAGGGAGGACAACCCTGCCATCGGAGACTGGCTCTGCATGGCAGTACTTCTCCAAAGGGCATCTCCCGCTGGCTGCGGGGATGCGTGCACAGCGAAGGCATGCTGCCGCTGTCTGTGAGCAACGCTCAGATGATGTCATTTGCCGCCACACTCCTTAAAAAAAAAAACCACCAAACAATGTTTTCATGAACCTCTTGCTCTGAGGGCGGTAATGTATGAGTGGCTATCTGGCACCTAAGCATGCTGTATGTCCCCTGAGGTTGCAGACAGCCATTCTGTAACCAGAATTCAGAGATGTCACAAGTGGCTGAACAAACAAATATCACCAGTTAATGGTTAAGCTCTCAATTTACTAAAGCATTTGTTACCAGTTTGCGAAAGAGATCAAACAACCGTGAATCATAACCTTGGCTACTAATTAAATCCTTTATTCCCTTCCCTCATCGCAGAAGCATTTAATCTTGGAGAATCAGGACAGCCTGTTGTGCAGAATTAGATTGTACAGCATAAGCAGGAACAAGCTTACTGTAAGGTTTCCTACTGGAGCTGGAAGTGGGAAGGAATAAACCGAGAATATTAACTTTCCCTCCTGGCGTGGAAGTTCATGTTAGCACAGAACAATGACTGATGTAAAATAGCTGCATTGGAAAATCGTTTTGGTGGTATAATTTTGTTATTTCGTCGAATGGTGAATATAATTTTTATTATCCAGCTGTCTTGCTTATAGATGTGCCTCGTCATTTGGATAGAGAATGAGGGATTTGGTGTGCTTTACTAGTGACCGTCTGTCCCAAAGAAAAATATTTTACTCGGAAATAATGGACTGTGAAGAACACCCCAGAGGAAATGAGGCATAAACCAAAATACTACAAGCAGTTTTATTGCAATTGAAATTTATTTCTATTTGTCATAAGTTGGGTTTGTGTGCATCTGTGTGTACGATGTATAGCTGCATGGCAGTTACACTTTCACACCTTTGATATTTAACAGCAAATTAGGCAGCGTTTGTCTTTTTGGCTCCCGTCTCTGTGAAGCAGAGCTTTAAAAACTCCGAACATATTATTGCTTTGGGTTTTGGGGAAGTCATCCTTGTCCCTAGCAGCGGAGCGATGCAGCAAGGGCTCACAGAACAGGGATACCACGAAATGGCATTAGACTAACTCCGTTCACCGGGACTCGATCCAAACAGGCAGCCATCCCAGTTAGGAGGAGCCAATTTCCATTTTTATAACATGAACCATGATCTTGCAGTCAGACCTGCGGGAGCAGGGACCTGGAGAGACTCTGTCTGAGACACCTCAGTAAGGTGTTAAGAGGGAAGGACTTTCCTGTAGAGATCCAACTGCAGATGCACAGATCGGTGCATAAGTGTTGAGGCACAGTCGCTTTATATAAATGCACTTACAGTCTTAGCAATCTCTAGACCTGTGGGGAAAAGCTGTCCATTATTACTTTGAAAAGCAACCATATTTTACACTGTAACCAAAGAAAGTAATCTTTTCTGTCATTGCTGAATCGGAACAATTTCTGTAACAGAAAGAAACCACCTGAGAACAGTATCTACAAGTAGAAAGTGAGAACTTTTTTTGGTTCTGTTTTTGGCTTCGCAGAAAGCTATTTTCCCACTAAAAATGTGAGTTTTCAGAAAGGGAACACTCCGGCTACACTTGCCAGAGGACAGACACCCACCCTTTGCACATGCAGAACTTCTGTTTGCTGGGGGAAATTTGTCCTGAGGAGATGCATAAATACTCACTAAATTTCCAGGTTATATTTAACTGGAGAGGCTTGGGTGATACCATGCTATAGCATTCCAAACACCCAAAACTGTACAGAACTTCAATATGGCTTTTCCATCCCATAGTGAGTATGAATGCTGCCAGGTTCAGTACAGACAGAAAGCACTGCCTAATGACATCTCAATCTGCCGGGCTATCGGTATTACTAATAATAATTTTATAAAGATAAAACATCTGGAATATCTAACTTTGCTTTTACTGCTGCTTCCCCAAAGCTATCACCAGAAGTCTGTTTGGGATGAGAGATAGAAATACTAGATGTTCATGCATTTAAAAAGGAAATAACGATTGTGCAATAATGTCATTCAAGCACATCTTGATAAAAGTAATAGAATGAACAAGTAGAATAAATCGTGGGCACAGCTTAAATGTTTGATTTGGTATTTTAATGTTAAGAAAAAAACATCATTTTGGCAGGCTTTGAAAAATTTAAAGTATCTGTTGCTCTTAATGAACTGTTTAAAAAATAATGTCAGATACTATGAAAATCTGTTATTTTAAAGCACAAAGAACAAATTATTATTTTTTAATTCTGTTTTCAGTTCCTATGCATGTGCGTGAAGAGCGAGATATATTTGTTTAAAGACCTTTCAGATTATTTTGTCTTTATATGCACTTACAGTTCAGTTTTGGGATACATGTGTATGTAGATGTTGCATCCAGCTACCACAAGATCATTTTGATTGTTTAGCAGTGAACGGGTCAAAAATCTTAAAAGTGTTTTTTTTAAATAATTTTTGAAAAACAAATTCATGTAAGTGAAGAAATATATTGTACAGGACTTAAGAAACAAAAAACAAAAATCCCACAACACAAAGAAACCACAAAAAAAAACAAAGCTGGATTTCTAGAGTGACCATGTATAAAAACTGTGCATGGCTGAATATGCAGAAACTTTATAGCAGGTTGGGGTTTTTTTGATGGAAATGAAACTGGGAAAGATGGGTGGAGGTTTGCTTAGACATAGGAGGAGGTTTTGTGGACACCTCTTTTTACTGAGAAATGTATGCAAACCGAGCATAGGTCAGATAAAGTCCTGGATTTTTATAGCCTTCTTGAAAGGTGGGGAAGATCAACATAATAGTGTGTTGTGCTCCCAGGCTGAATCACAACTACTTACATTACACATTCGCATGTTAGTGAAGCATTTACTGCAGACTGTTACATTTATTGTCTGGATGGAGATGCTCTTTCACCCCACTCACCTACCTCGTTTTTCCCACAGGCTGCGAGAACACCACCGTGCTGCAATTAAGGTGATTCGTAGGATGCAGTATTTTGTGGCAAAGAAAAAGTTTCAGGTGAGTTGTGAAGAAAAAGCTCCTTTTCTAAATAAACCCTTTTATTCTCCAGATTCATTGGTTCTTTTGGAAACTTAGGAGAGACTAACACAATTCATTTCAGTAACCGTGAGCTACACCCACTATTCTCTTCCTCCTTCAATAGCGTGGTTGTTTAGCAGCAGGTTAGTCAACTGTGGATGCACTGGAAATAAGCTAAACTCCTGAAATGCAGTCTGAATTAAAATGTTATTTTCTGCTAATGGACTTGACCCTTAACCCTCTGTTATCATTGTCTCTCTCTCGCAGTGCAAACATTCTCATATGTCTCCATTAATTCTGAGCTGTATGTTACTGTCATGCTGAGTCAGTAGGATTAGAGATTAAAATACTACCTCAGCCTCGTTTCTGTCTGTTACTCAATGATAATGAAGTCCAGATAAGAAACCAGGGTGGAAATTTGTTAGCATATTGGAAGGTTTCTCCTTCCTTTTCCCTTCTCCCCTCTGCATAGGTAGGAGACGACCTTCCCGGTTTGTGATATATCAGTTCTCTTTACTGCTCTGCCCTTCACTGACATACGTTTCCTGTGTGCCACTTCTCTTGCTATGATATTGTGACACCGTAAGCACTTAACAGTAGCTAATTAACCTCGTTGCCTGGTCTGAATAAAAAATTCTGACTGCAAACTTTCTAAGAATGTGGTTTCTAAATCAATTTCATTAATCCAGTAAAAACACTTGTCAACAGCCTTCAGCTTGATTTAAACCAGGTGAATATTATACATATATATGTAAGAAATATATATTACTTTACTTAAAATTAATTAATAAGGGACAGTCTCCGGATAACAGGCTTCACAACTGAAAATGCAAAGAAAGAGAGGGACTTAACTGCCCACATCCGTTTTCATATATGACCTCGCCATTACTGCTTACAATAGGCTAAAAAGCTTTTCCGCCCTTAACCTAGACCCCCCCCCAAAAAAAAGGGAGGGTGTCTTTTTTCCTTCAAATCTGAAGGGCACAAAGTTAGGATCAAAATGATGATGCTGATGGCAACTAACAGGGCAAGGGAGCATTGTTTCTGTAAGGCCATGCTTGCTGCTGCTTCAAAACCGTGATTCTGATTTCTTCGTCGATGTTTAGGAGCAGTGCCTGAATTCTTTAGCAATTTCCTCCTTGAAATTCTTTGATTTTTACTAATAATTTTACTTTAATTTTACTAAAATTAATGAGCTACTTTATGGCTAAGTTTGCCTGAGCTTTGCAGAAATTTGTTTCAGTTATGTATAACGTATTCAGACTGTCGCCATTTTAGGCTGAAATCTCCCATGTCTGGGGTTTTCTTGGAGTGGGCGCTTTCAGAAAGTTTCTGCTAGCTCATTTTGCCTGTTATTTTTATTGGACTAAAATGAAGAAAGGTACAATGTCTGGGCTACTTGAAAATAATTTTTACAGTAATTTTGTCGAGAAGCTCCTTAACACTTGCTGGCCAGCACTTGTAACTTGGCAAGGGATGTGGCCCATTCCAGTGATGTGTCCACTGCTGTTCTGTGAAAAACTGCCTACATGTGGGCAGTTCCATTAAACTTTAATTTATTCTCATTCTAAAACCTGATTGTGATCCTTTGCTCTGTGGTAATTACTGAATCATTGCTCTCATAAATTTCGATCATAAAATATTTGCCATGGTATTAACTCAACTGCTTAGAAACAAGAAATCTACACATTATATATCTACCTCCCAAGTGGTATTTGTCAAAAACAGATTTTGAAAATGCCTGAACACTGTGTGCAACATTATCCACCTGGCAAATAAACGAAACTCCCCTGCGGCAGATGATTTGATAGAAGCTGAAAAAGCATTTGACTGAATAGAATGGGACTATTCAGTTCATACTTAAAACTTGTTTGTACTCGGTATCCCGGTTGCTAATCTGGCTTCTCAGTTGTACTCTCACTTTCGCATCTGCAAAAGACCTGGTCCTGGCCATCTACAAAACCCCACAACAAGGTTGTCTCTCATCCTTCTTTAGTAGTCTTTCTTCTTCCTGAGCTATCAATATTAGCTGTTACTAAAGAAGTAAAAATGTCAGTTAGGCTGAAGTGAAATGTATCTCAAGTCACTCCTGCATACAAGTGATACGCTGCTGTTGGTCAGACGCAGAACGTCCCAATAGGAACATATCGGGGATATCTGATACTTCTCCATAATTTCTGAATACAAGGTTATGACGGAGTTTAAAAATTTGGAGAGCACCAGAGGTACAGTTTTCAAAAGCACCTAAGTAACTTAATGCACAAAGTCACCTTGAAATTCAAGCCACAAGGTGCTTTTGAAAATCTCTCCTGTAATTAAGAGATAATCACTGTCATTATTCTTTCCTCAAAAGTATGTTGTAAATCTGTTTTGTTCTATTGTATGCACATAAAATAGTTGTAAGAAATTAAAATGTTTAAACATGTGCCAAGTAATGACTATACAGTTTCTAATAACCAGTCCAATGCAATATCTAAAATGAAGGTGAAGCACAAGATGCATTTTAAGAATTGATCTTTCAGCCTTTAAGAGGTCTGCATAGCTTTTCTTTTTTCTGGTAGATATTTGCAGTCTAAGCTTTTTGTGTTTATGTGAAATGTATCTTCCTAAAAAAAAAATCAGGTTTGCTGGAGTTTTTTTCTATAACTATTGAAAAAAAAAAAAACCCAACAAGTTTCAGCTGAAGTCCATTGGGCTATTCATGCTTAAAATTAGCTGGAACATAAGTAATTGCAAGGCCAGCACTTAAAAGGAGTATTTTTTAGAGACGCCTCCGAAGCTTTTGAGGAGGGGAAGCATAGGAAGAAGGAGAGGAAGAGGAAAATTTTGCAAAATAGGTCCCAGCATGAACCCAGCATGGTTCTTAAACTATACCAGCTGTTTGCAGGATACACCTGTATGCCTAAATTTGCCTAGATACATTTTTTTAAGAGCTCGATTAATAACAGGGGGTGATGGTACCACAAGGACAAAAGTCAGTTAGAAAGAAGAGCCTTCCTGTTTAAAAAAAAAATAAATAAAATAAATAAAGAGAAGCTAAACAGGGAAACAAAGACATTACAAAGGACATGAAAAGCAGTTCTTTATGAAGCATCACTTTGGGCAACATTTCCTCTTTAAAAGAAGGGGAGAAATTTATGTTCTATTTTAAACTCCAGGTTTGAATATAGTCTATATGATGATGTCTGTGTAAGAACCCAGCGTAATATTATAAAGAATTAATATCCTTTTTTATGGGTGTGTTTAAGCTCTCGTAAAGTCTGTAGGACTGTTTCAAATTGTGTAGGTAAGATCATATCCTGGTAGTAGTCAGCACAAGTCCTGTGCATTAGTTAAGATGAATGGCTCATGGTTATGGAAGTATTCTGTATATTATAAGGAAAACAGTACTTAGAAATTCGTGATTTTCTAGGGTTTGTTCACCCCACCTACCAAAAATGCATTTCATATATTATTTATAAATCAGGTATCTTTGGCACAGTCTAACATTAAAACTGAATTTCGGAAAGAAAATCACCATATTTGGTTATTCCATTAGCTGGATTAATGAGTAAATAACCTTTGTCTTCCAATTAGGAAAGTTTCTAAATGTCTTAAGTCTTACACACATGGATACAACTGTGATATCTATCACAGATTCAGAGACCAGGGATTTGATCTGATTTCCCACTGTCATTTTGAAATGTTTTTTTTCTCTTTCCATGTAAATTCTTCCTGTTGAGTAAATCATTTTCCTTCTAAAATATGTTTTTACCTTGTGTTATGTTTTTCACCATGGCAAATATTCTATACATAGAATAAACTAAAAGTACAAGTTCCAGTTCCATTGATGACATGAGTAACCATTGCCTGGTTTGTTACAATTTCATTGGAAAATCTTGCATTTATAGTCTTATAATTCATCATCTTATGTAATTCATTTGTCATGGTATGAATCATGAATTGTGTGTGTAATCTTTTCTAATCTCCATACTGCGGTGTACCAAACAATGTAGTTCAGAGCGTCCTGTGCTTCAAAGGATGTTCTACCCATTTTATTTGGCTGTTATTTTGTTATATTTCCGAGAAATTCCCCTTGCACGGATTCCGCTCTCCCTTTCCCAGGCCTGCCTCCCTGTGCATGCAGTTACAAGGGAACAGCAATGGCCAGTGGTGCACTTTCAATATTTGGCATTGGCTTTTGCACCTTTTGCAAATTTTCATGTATGATGGGGGAAATTTTAACTCATTTATGAAGATTTTTTGCCATGAGTATTGGTTAATTAGTAGAGGGATGAAAGTAAAGAAGAGAAGTTAAGGAAAGCTGTGGGGCTGACTTCTACTTTTGTTTCTTCAATACTTATCCATTGCCTGCTGCAGGTTTTTTTTCCTTTTATACAACTAACATGTTATCAACATCAAGAGTATTTTCTCTTGAAAGATCAGCTTTCAATATGAAGTAATTACAGAATAATCGGTGCTGACTACTAAATACCCTATCCTACTCGGAAATTAAGGTTCATTCATAAATTCTATTTACTCCAGGTTTTCAGCTCTTGTTTTAAAGAGAAAGAAGCAGCCCAGTAAATGAAAAACAGGCAGGGAAATACCTACTCTTTCTACTGTCAGACATCTGCCGCAGAGTATGGGGATGGCAGGAGAAAGCTCTGCATCTATATTCTTACTGAACAGCTTTTCTGAACCTGGAGATTTCAAGCTGCTCTTGCAGATTTCTCTCTTGCTTATTTATAGTAAAAAAAAAAAAATAAATCCAAGAATTCATTTTTTTTATATATCATCATGTTTACAGTACTAGTCCATGGAAAGACTTATGGGTTTATGCCACTGTTGAATCATATTTCTTTCTTTGTGGATGTTAGTTATGATTTATGTGTGTGTAAGCAGCCAGGGTTCTTGGGAATTCTTCTGTGCACTCTTTGGTTAGATTGAAGCAATTCCCATTGCTGTTTAGCCTTCCACTAGAGGGTATCTCACATTCACCCAAGGTTTGCCGTTGGCTTTGGGGAATTTGGCAGACTAAAATATAATTTGTTTGATGAAGTGATATTATTAAAGTAATGATTCCTAAAATGTAAATTCCTAAATATAAAGTAATGATCCCTAAAATGTGGGAGCTACCTCCTGGGCAGGTGCAGGGGCCTCCACGAAGGTGCCACAGCATGGTTATTATATTGGCTCCCACTTTCCTTTGGCTTAAAAAAGAAGGTATTTGTAGCATGGAATTGAGGAAAACCTGCAGTGTGTGAAATAAGGTTAAGCAGTGCAGAGACATCTCCAGCTTTTGAAGTACAGATGACAAAATACTTCTGAGACCTCAAATGGGATACAAATCCTGATATGTTAGAAGCTACCACTGTAAACTTTTCCTTGTTCTCAAAAGATGCAAGAAAGGAAAAGTTGTAACTCAGTGTTACGAAGGTTTTCATCAAATCTTGAAAATTATCTACAGAGTATCTATAGACAGCATAATGAATTAGTCAGAAATAGAGACTCACAGAATGGTTTGGGTTGGAAGGGACCTCTTAAAGGTCATCTAGTCCGACCCCTCTGCAATGAGCAGGGACATCTTCAACTGGAGCAGGTTGCTCAGAGCTCCATCCAACCTGATGCTGACTGTTGGCAGGGGTGGGGCATCTACCACCTCTCTGGGCAACATCTTCCAGTGTTTCATGACCCTCATTGTAAAACATTTCCTCCTTACATGTCGTCTGATTCTACCCTCTTTCAGTTTAGAACCATTTCCCGCTGTCCTATTGCTACAGGCCCTACTAAAAAGTCTGTCCCCATCTTTCTTATAAGCCCCTTATAAGTACTGAAAAGCCACAATAAGGTCTTCCTGGAGCCTTCTCTTCTCCAGGCCGAACAATCTCAACTGTCTGAGCCTGTCCTCATAGGAAAGGTGTTCCATCCCTCTGATCATTTTTGAGGCCCTCCTCTGGACCAGATCCAACAGGTCCATGTCTTTCCTGCGCTGAGGGCTCCAGAGCTGGCTGCAGTACTCCAGGTGGGGTCTCACAAGAGCAGGGTGGAGGGGCAGAATCACCTCCCTTGACCTGCGGGCATATTGCTGGCGTATCATTTATGGTTACTGTATTGTTTGTCTGGTCTGATTAACGTCTTTGAGAAAAACTTTTCTACCAAATCCTAAGTTCAGGTGTTACTGTTCAGTCTAATGTGTGAAGTTTACAGCCTACTCTTCTCTTTTCCCCTCTCTTCTTTGTTGTTTTAGAGCTTCATTGCTGTTTCTCATATGTAGCGCTGGCACTGATTGGACTCTAGTTTCTAGATGTAGGATTATGATATTTTTAATTTGCCACTGCACTTTGACAAGTTCATCCACTTGGTTTCCAGTTAGTCTTGGTGTTTATTGGTTAAAATTACCATCTTTATCTTTAATACCACACAAAATTGTTGTTATTATTACTAATAGGTCAGCTAAGGCTTTCCCATGAATGAAGTGCAAATTATAGACACGGGGCTTTCTCTCTGGTCATTCCTTGCACCAATATTTTCACAGTATTTACCAGTAGATTTGAAAGCTCAGCCAGTCTTTCTGGAAGAGGAAATCAGTCATGCACCTTCAGCCAGGACTCTTCTCTAACCTTCCCAGGATGAGAGCTGAACTGAGAACTCCAGCTGTCTTGCTGCTGACTGAGAATAAGGTCTTGCATGTGTGAAAGATGTCTTTACTGTTCGGTGGCCGAGGAGTTTGAACCTTATTTCCAGAAGAAAATAGAGTGACCACAAACTTCTGAGCAAAGTGCCAGATAGACTTTTCCCACCACAAGTTCTTTTGGCGTCAAGTTTGGTGGATAATCTCTTGCAAGGCATGTAGACCCGCAGTATCAAAAAGGTGGATGAAATCGGAACTGTTGTAATTATTCCACAAAAAAATTTGTGATCATGGCAACAATCAAGATATCTCAAATGTTCACACAGTGTTAAAAGGGGTTAAAAGAACTTACTGCTTACTCTTGAAAAAAATCTACGTTACCATAGACGATTCCTACATCCTTGTGGCTTAAAGGCATGTTTGTTTTTTTTAATTTTACAGCAAGCTAGAAAGCCCTATGATGTCCGAGACGTTATTGAGCAGTATTCACAGGGCCACCTCAACCTGATGGTGCGAATCAAGGAATTACAGAGGAGGTATGTCAATAAAGTTCAGTATCTGTATCTGTAAACACCAGCAGAGGGATGTTTGTAAATAAATCAGTGATTGGGGCCGGGGGTCAAAAACTTGACAGGGTTACAGGTGCCATATTGGTAGGACTGATCAAAGTTATGGAAATGGCATTCAAGTAAAGTTTTCTTTTCACACAGGAAGGAAAAAGCAAAAAGCTTAAAAATCTGACCATCAGGACTTACAATTTTCATTATACTTCCATGTATTGCCTCAGTCCCTGCTAGCTTTGACTCTACACTGTAATCCCTATGTGTTAGGGGCTGTATTATACATACAGAGTGAAATACTGGTGCCTGCTCTGGTAGAATTGCACTTCAGAGCAATGAGATGGCAGATAGATGCAACAAGTAAGCTGCAGAAGAACAAGGAAAAGAGGAAACGATGCTGTTTATGTGGGAAAGCAATGGGCATGGTAAAACTTCACAGTGGTTAAAGAAGCTAAAGACCAACCTAAGTCCAATCCCATTTTGTTATTATTTTTGTAAAATCAAGCTATTCTTAGCCCAAAGCAACTGCTTCACTTATAGTACAAACCAGAACTGTTTGAACTTCACTTCGGTTGTTTGTGAAGAGACCTCCCTGCTCCAGCTAGAGAAAGCGAAGATGCTGGTTCAGGCTCATAAAAAATAAAAATCATTCTTTTTGTTTTACAGGTTGGACCAATCCATAGGGAAGCCGTCTCTTTTCATCTCCGTGTCAGGTAAGTTAATATAAAGGATGTGTCTAAAGTCAATCTGATGAAGATATAATTAATGGAAAATGCTTGTTAAAATACTTTTTATTTTGTTGCCAAATTTTTAAACAGTGCCAACCACTTGTGGTCTGAAGTTTAGGCATCCACGACAATACTTAGTCATCAACACCTTTAAAATAGGGTTGTTCGTATTTAGATAGTCAAAGCACCTACTTTCACAGAGGTTTTCAAAATGTTGGCTCTGTTGTCTCTGGGACTCACCATATTTTGAATAAAATGATGTGCTATGATTACAGAGTTCCTGTGAAATCAGTAATATTCACATAGAGCTTTGATAGCTTTGAAAAGGGACTGGGAAAGGAGCACAAAGTATTAAGTTTGTTTGCAACAAGTCTGGCTAATGAAAACTCTCTATTAATGTCATTTTCAAACTCATGTTTCTATATAATTTATAGAGGAAAAAAGATAAAATACTATCAAATTCAAGTTTGCTGTAGAGTCCTTTGTATAGTGGCAGATTGTTTTTAAATGGCAATTGAAACATTAACTAAATTGGGAAAAGTTTTGTTCTCCCAGATTAAAGCTTAAAACTGAGGTTGAAAGTGCCTTAAACTTAAGGGCTATTAAAAGCCATGGCGTGGGCTAATGCTATAAAAAGAAACAAAAAGCTGCTTTTAAGGAATAGTACTACCAGCCTGGCAAAGGTGTACAGTTACACTGCGTTGGTGGGCTAGTTAAACACACCCTGTTGTGGCTTGCTGCTATTTTGTTATACCACCATATATTAATTTGAAAATGTTTCTTGTTCCACAGAAAAAAGCAAAGATCGAGGGAATAACACGATTGGTGCCAGGCTGAACAGAGTGGAGGACAAGGTAAGCCTCAGTTAGACGGGCAGTGAATGAGGACATGATCTGTGATTGAACAGTGCTTGTTTCATAGGATGTGGGGAAAAATTCAGCTTAAAATAGAGTTGAATGCCCAGCTTTCCCAGGTGATGGAGCATAGTTTTTGTGGGAGATTGCATTTTTGGTTCTTTCTTGTAATTTTAACAGACTAAGAAAAAAAAACAGACTGTAATTGATTTCGGTCTCTTTTGGGACCTGCTTGGGTTTTTGATTTTTAATTCTATATATTACACATGTCTCAATGCTCTACTTCCTTCCTCCACTATAGATAAAAGGCTCTGTTCCTTTAATACCTCAGTATATTATGGTCCCTAACATTTCCCTTTGATCGTTGCTCTGTTGTTTATATAACTCCACCTACAATTCCTTAGAGAGAGCGCGATAGCAAACGTTGTTCTGTCCTGGTTTTCATTCCTTGTGACAAATGGAGTTTCTCCTTTCAAGTGACATGAAACCAGAAAAAATCGGACTTTTTCTATAATCTCAAATTAACAGTTAAGTGCTTTGTAACCCTTTATTTCAATGCTGGCTGTGCTTGAAAAATTAGATGACAAGTCATTGTTAAAAAATATAGGTTTGCCTATGTTGGTATTAAGGAAAGAAAAGGAGAGTTAAGAGAAATGGTTTGAATCCTTTACTGAGCCCTTATAATGATTTGATGAGGGGGTGAAAGAATTTCTTTACTCTAGGATTATTTCACTTGTATCTAAATGGCTCATTTGAGTGAACTGCTCATTAAGTAGTGAAGATTTTTCTTGAGGAAAAGAGCTTTCAGAGTGTCTCTTCTACAACTAGAAGTACGCGATAACCTCATGAAAGATTTGTTCTGAAGAAATATCCGGCAAATATTCTGCAAACCAAAAGAGGCGTGAGCAACACATCCCAAAGGATGTGAACTGTGAGCACCCTGAGCTGTATTGATTCACTTGTGACGTAACCATTCCTTACACATTTCTCCTTAAATACTGAAGATAAACTTGAATGATAGTGCTCAGAACTGTACTTCAACCTATTAGAAATAAATGGCATTTTAAAGGGGACAGATGTCTTTTGGTATATAGGGTCACACACAGAAAGGGTAAAATAGAACATAGGAAGGTACAGTGCAATTTGCACAACGAAGAATCACTGTGCGGTGCTCACTCAGATCTCTGTTTGGTAAGTGTTCTTGCACATGGAAGCCCTTTCCAGAAAGTTTGGATTACATTTATTTATTTTCTCTCCGTAATGTCAACTAAAACTGTGGAACACTAAAAAATGTCTCGTGACTTGTGACAAAGGGCAATAACTTTTCAGTTTGGACAAATAATTCTCCAATGACAGCTAAAATAGCTTCTCAGTGCTATTTGTAAAATCTCCAACGAGCCTGGGAAAGTTTTGGTGGTGTACTGGCTCAGAGATAAGCTGGTTTGGGGTTATTAATTACTCTTTTTACATCCTTACAAATAAGTACACTGTGAATTTATAGTGACTGTTGTTTTATGTCTTGTAATGGGACTGTAAAAAACTCCCTGTTTAATTTTAGTATAGCCGGGTTAAATTTTAGCCTTGTTTTAAGTAACAGACCCTTCTTTCTTTGCAGTTGCATGAGGTCATCTGTGGTTTCAGAGTTGTATGTTATCTGCCCTATACAGCTACTCCTATCTGCAGGAATTTTATCTGAAAGTAGCTGAAAGGCTAAAAATAGAGAATTTCGGTTGGACTCTGCAAACAGTGGTATACATGACAACATACCGGCAATGCTGAAATCACATTTTTGCTGCAGCTGCAGATGGTGGCCAAAGCTATTCTTTTGGTATTTTTGCTCCCTGAGATTGGCCTTCTTTTTCCCGTAAAGGACATGGGATACTTTCAACATACAATTAAATCCTTCCTGAGCTGAGCAATATGTAAAGGATATCTGTATCAGCTGAGTTTTAAGGTGACTACGTATTTTAAACAGTTACATCTTGTTTGGTTTGTGAATTAGTTTTGAATCTTGGTCTTTAGAAGGAGAGATTTTCAGGGGTGCAGGCTAGTGTTAGCATCTAACCACCTTCTGGGCATTTGAAAAATCTCCTTTAAGTCATTTTGAAAATGAGCCGTGGCCTACCGAAATTATTCAGATGCTCCTGCTACAGCAAGAAATTAAGCGGTACTTCCCATGCCACAGGAATTAGTTCTTCTAATAGATCTTTCTCAATGATCATTAGTATGCTCCTTGCAGCAGAAGGCTGCTGTGCAGTTGTCAGATAGTCTGTGTTAAAGCAGGAAGAGAAGAAACCCTGAACTTTCTTTTTTTTTTAACTTTTGGGCGCTTCTGCTTATGAATGTCTGCTGTGGGCACAGGATCTGCTACCTGCACATCACAGAGGCAGAACCCAATTTTAAGTGTATTCCTATAGGCTTTTATGGAGGTGGATTTTAACTTGAGAAGAATTTACAAATAGCGATAATTCCATCTTCCAAAGTATTTAATTGTGTTTCTGGGACATTATGTCACTCTTGTAAAGCTTTTGTACTTGTGGCACAAGCAAACATGCTCTGGAGGCACATCTATGGCTGGCAGTACAGAGGGGATGGCATGTGAAAGGGACATTTTAAAAATAAAATGCTTAGAGTCAAACAGAAGTGTATTGGCAGGAATTATGATACTTTATGGCACAAATCTGAATTTCCAAGTATTGAGATCAGCAAAAAATCATGTTTTCTTTCAAATTTAGCAACATGTTCATGTGAGGGAGAGAGTCCTGTAGAGTCTGTTCATCCTACGCACTGAGTGAAACTTTGACCTTGTAATATATACAGTTTGTGATAATGTAACTAAAGATTGTTTCCTAATATGCAAAAGCCAGGGGGAGGAATCACGCTTGCAGAAACCTTCCTGCAGATTCCGTCCCAAAGAATTTTGTAATTTTGGCAAGCAACTGAAAAGGTGGTTTTGTAGATTTAACTAGAAACTGCACAACCTGGTAGGCCTTTGTGAAAAGAATCCACAATCTGGTGTGTAATCACAGCATATTCTGACTTCGCCGTTGTTCTCTGTTGCTTATAAAGCTGAGGATGGCAAATGCTGTGTTCTTCGAGAGGTGTATTGCCATGGCTGAGTGCAGGTATTTGCAGGACCCACCGTGCCCACACCCCAATCTGTGGGGAGACCATCCAGCTTTGGTCCAGAAGACATCTAGCTGCTACAGTAGTGCGGTGCCCAGACCGAGCTCAGAAACCCTGCTAAGTAGCAATGGTCCAAGTGTGTGCATGTAGATGCGCCGCTTCAGTCCCTCAGAGAATGTTGTTGAGCAGGATTACAGCAGCAAATCAATTTATTTGTGGCGACCAGCTTTGTCTCTCCTCATCCCGAAACATCTGTGAGTGACTACTCAGCCTGCCCTTCAAGAAACCTGGCCACTGCTGGCTTGCTACCAAAGTCAAAATCAAAAACAATTTTTTCAGATAGGCACAGCTGTGTGTGCTCAGAGCTGTTAATCCTCACGCAGAGCGCGCTGCGTGCCGGTGGTTTAATGCTGGGTGTGCCCCGCAGCTCCAGCCAGGAACCAGCCCGCAGCACGCTCCAGAATTTCTGTGCCTTACGTCTCCCCTTTTCTTTTTCACTGTTTTAATTTTAACTTGGGTATAAATAAGCATAACGCTAACTTTTTAGGATAAATTAATCCACTCTTTTTCAACCTTTTGCTGACCATTAATTTAGATAGAGCAGGCGCAGCTTGCACTTCCAGGTAATCAGTTGGGCTTGTTGCTTGGTTACCCTAAGATAATTCAGTCTTAAATACAGGCACTGCACAAATTCCTGTAGAACATACAGTGAGGGCTAAAATTGGCGGTCCCTGGAGTCTCGACAGTCTGTTGTGCCTACATACCAGACTCCTCCGATGTCAGTAGGTCCTGCCTGTGGACCTCCCAGAGCAGAATAAGAGAATGCAGGTTTACAAAAAAAAATTTAAAAACCATTCTGAGTAGTAGACATTATGCTCTATTCTCTGTGAAGTTGTTTTAAAAATAGGACTTAACTTTCTGCAGTGATTTGGACATTTTTAAAATGGCCTTTTAGAATAAATACAGCAATCCAATAGGCCTTCCTTCATCAGGGTAGGCAGAAACATTAAGCTTTATCAAAGTTGTATGCCTTTGAGAGGATTTTGTCCTTTGGTTGTTGTGATACGATTTTGCTCAGTAACACGGATGTCTTACTTAGCTGACAGCATTTCTGTCATAAATGGTAATACAGATTTGTACATGTATGTATCTCATTATGGAATACTCCATATTTACAGTCCTAAGAGCATACATCAGGTAGTTTAACGTTTTACTTAGAAAAGTCTATCCACCTTTTCCTGGGTTCACAAATACCAGGTTTCATGTTGACAGCTTGTTCACCTAAAAGAATTCTTCATGTGTGCCCAGTCTTCCAATTTTATGTGAAATACTCACGTTATCTAACATAGGGGGATTTTGTCTATTTTTGATGGGGTCTTTCGTCTGTTTTTTATGGCGTTCTGTAGCCTGTGGGAACACTTACTGTATGTCCTGGTGTAACATAGCAATTAGTGCAAACTTCAAAAAAGGCCTTGACTGGTGATGGCCTTCTTGCACATCAATATGCAATGGACAGGGACATTTTGGCTTTATTTTTAATTGAATAACGATGCTGGAAAATTGATGGTAAAAGACTGACAAACAACCATCTGACTTTCTGGTCAGTGCCGGAAACTATGGTCAGAGCCATGGGTAATCTGTTGGAAGAGATGGCTTTGGAAAATGACTGGCATGGAAATACTCAGCACTTTGCGGGCTGAACACGCACTAGGCAGTTCAGGTATTGAATATTGGCAGCTTCTGCAATAGGTGTGTGAGGATTTGCCTTCCTGATACCTAGAAATAGAACTAAAAACTGTGGTTTTGGATGGAAATTTCAAAAGATATGCAAAATCAATAAAAATCAAAAGAACCACCGCCAAGCAGTTACTCAT